GCCATCCCAGCCACGCCCACCACGCCCAGCGCCATCCGTCACACCCAGCGTCATCCAGACCACACCCAGCCACGCCCAGTGCCATCCCAGCCACGCCCAGCCACGCCCCAGCCCCTCCCTGCCCTGGATCTCCTCCATCAGCTTCAGCGTTTTCTCCATCTCGGCCACCAAGGGGTCACTGCCGGGGTCACCGGGGTCACGGCCGGGGTCACCGGGGTCACCGGGCGGGTCGCGAGCGCTCAGCGTGTCCCGGAAGCGATAGAGCTCTGTCACCATGGCCTGGGGGAGCATCGGGTACAGACCACGGGTCACCCCAAACTCCCCCAAAGAACCCAAATTCCTGCCCCAAATAACCCAAACTCCCCTCAAATTTACCCTAAATAACCCCAAATAACGCCAAATTACCCCAAATTCCACCCAAATCACCCCAAATTCACGGATTCCCACCCCAAATAACCCAAATTCCCCCCAAAGCACCCCAAATAACCCAAATTCCCCCCAAATCCTCTCCAAATAACCCAAACTCCCCCCAAATCACCCCAAATTCCCCCCAAATAACCCAAACTCCCCCCAAATCACCCCAAATCACCCAAATTCCTGCCCCAAACAACCCCAAATAACACAGTTCCCCTCAAATCAACCCAAAATCCCAAATTCCCACCTTAAATAACCCAGATTCACCCCAAATCAGCCCAAATTCCCACCCCAAATAACTCAGCTGCTCCCCACACCAACCCAGCTCCCACACAAACCACCCCAAATCCACACCTGAAATAAACCGAACCCCCCCGGAAATAACCCCTAATGCCCCCCCCCAAACAGCCCCGAATTTCCCCTCAAATAACCCAAATCTCCTCCCAAAATCACCCAAACTTTCCTCCTCAAACAACCCCAAATTCCCTCCTCAGAGAATCCCCCCAGAACACACCGACACCGCTCTAAGAAAACCCCAAAATCCCGAAAACCCCCAAAACTCCCCCAAAGGGCCCCAAAAGGCCCCAGAGGGGTCCCAGCCCCCCCGCTCCCCTCAGGACACCCCAGCCCCCCTGAGAGGGGTCCCCGCCCCCCAGAGACCCCCGAGCCCCTCCCGGGGAGCCCGCCCCGCCCCCCCCGGGGGCCCGCCGTCCCTCGGCCCCGCCCCCCCCC